CCTCAGGCCCTCCACCCCAATTATTCAGTTGACTTCCTAAGATCCTAAGATCAAGGGTATCCTCTTAGCGACAGGATGGTGATGAAATACAGAAGTTTATTGTAAATCTCTCTAGTATACTGTCCCTTTCGAATTTTGCCACATGTCCCAATAACATCCTTCACAGCACTTTTCCCCAACCCACCCTCCAAACTGTTTGGCTCCCACTGTTTGGTCCTCACAGCTTCTTCGTTCCCTTTAATCCTGGAATAGTCCCTCAGCGTTTCTTTATCATTATTTTTAACAAGCATAGACAGTTGCTTTGTGTTCTAATGTCTCAGCTTTGTGTTTGCCTGGTGTTGTCTTGTGATTAGATTCCCACTGTGCGTTTTCGGAGGATTCGGGAAGTGTGTTGGGTCTTTCTTGGGCATCACAGCAGAGTCACGATGCCGGCCTTTCTCCTATTGGTGACATTAACTTTCATCAGTTGGTGAAGGTGTGCCCACCAGTTTCTCTAGTGTAAAGGTAGGTGTTCTCTTTGTAATCAGTAAATAATTTCAGAGTGGTATTTCTTTGTAAATGTCCTGTGTGGAAACCAGAGCCATCTGGCTGTAAGTGGCAGCTCGGGTGAGCTCAGGTGCCTTATCACAGGGAACCCAGGGCAGGAGGAACCCAGATTCCTCCTGGAACCACAGGCAGGGCCTCCAGGAGGAGAGGGTCAAGTTCAGGGCAACCTCATCTACTTGTCCCCTCAGGAGCGGATGTCCCTTCAGGGCCCCAGCCAAAGCACACCTACATTTTTCTCGATTTTTCAGCATTCCTGGGCCCTTGGCTTCCTCTGAGGTAGCCTTTTTTCCTGCCCCATCTTTGGTGGGGCTCAAACTCAAGCTTCACCCTGCAGAGAAAAGGGCACCAAGCAGTCCCTTGTCTGACGTGGAGAGTCCTCTTGGGCAGAGCTCTCGGGTCTAGGTGCCTCCTAGGATGCTGGTGCCTCCGGCTGGCCTGTAAGGTGGACCTCACCCTGCCTGGGCATATGCTGTGTACGACTGCACAAGTCAGAATTGAACCATGGTGCGTCGGGACCACCATCTCTACGCAGTCCCTCTTCCCTTTCCCCCTTCCCCTGGCACAAGTGGTGTTGGGGGGCATGTGAGGATGTTGCAGGGAAGTGAGCTGGGGCTACGGTTTTGGGGGGCTGAATGGGCTTTACTTGCGTTCACAGCACTTCCTTGTACAGTTAAGTTTTTTCCAGGCGTCTCAGTGTGGGATTGGCTTCCAGGAATCCTCCTTCCCCCAGGGCTGACTCACCTACCTGGCGTCTGGACCCCGAGGTTCAGGGGCAGGGTGGTGGTCAGCACGTGGGTTGTGGAGGGGAAGCAGAAGCAGAATGCAGGGAGTCTCCCTAGTAAATTATGCAAATGTCCCTCTCTATTAAATTATGCAGCAGGTCCTCTACTCCACGCCAAGATCCCCAGGACGTCAGCGGGCAGCCGCCTCCCCACCACTGCAAGCATGGCTGCCCCAAGAATTCTGCCTACCTTGACCGTCCCCTTTCTTATCTTAGGGCTTGCTTCTGAGAGTGGGGTGTGTAAATTTATGAAAGGAAGACTGAAAAGTAGAGAATCTTTTGGAAAAGTAAATCTTTCCCTATTTTGCCTGCTTTGAAAACTGTAGATTTTCCTGGCACATACTCACCACATCATGCTATTTTCATAGTCATTACATGATGCTATTTCCATGTTCACTACATACTATTTTCATAGTCACCACGTCATTTTTATACCAACCACATGCTGTTTTCATGCTCACCACATACTATTTTCATACTCACTTCATGCTATTCTCATACTCACCACATGCTATTTTCATACCACATGCTGTTTTCATGCTCATCACACACTATTTTCATACTCACTACATGCTATTTTCACACTCACCACATGCTATTTTCAATATAATAGTGGATATGAGTTTGCCAGCTGAGCCAGATTTCAAAACAAAAACTTCAAAACCACTTGCTGCTTCCCAGCTGGGACCTGGGACAAGTGGCTTAGCTCTGGAAGCCTCAGTTCCCCAACCTGTAATAATCAAAAGACCTACCTCATAAAGGTTGTTGTAGGGATTAGATGGGATAATGCACATATAGTGCTTCCCCCAGCGTGTGGCACAGACACTGCTCAGTACATGTTAGCTGTTGCTGTTGTCTCCAGTGTTTTCATTAACGTTACGGCACTGCTGAGGAGCCGTCGGGCACAGTGCAGGCCCTCTGTGCACGTGGGAAGGGGGGAGTAAGGAGCAGGCTGGGAGAGGGGGCGCTGGGTCACAGCTCTCAGAAGCAGACCCTGCTTTGTAGGGCACGGTGTCTAAGGACGGGCACCCTGGGGAGGGTGGGGAGGGGAGGAGGGGAAGCAGACAAAGAAGAGAAGAAGCCAGGCAGGGCTGTGAGCCCAGCAGAGACCTACCAAGGGGAGCTCCAGGTACCCTCCCCCACGGGGGACTGAGCCACAGCCTTTTCCAGCCCGAGCAAAAATGCTGGGCTCTCATGCTTCCCCACCTGTCAGTGACCAGTTAAGGGCCATCCTGAGGGGTGGTAACAATTCCAGTTCTCTTCAGGGAGGGACAACAGCTCCAGCAGTATGAGGACAGGCCCCTGGGAAGAATCTCAAGTGAGAACCATTGGGAGCGAAAGCACACTCAGGCCAGGCAGGGCTGCATGGAAACACCGGGATCCGACCTGGGTAGAGCTAGAGCCGGAGCCACCGTGGGACAAAGGGCTGTATCCTGAATTAGGAGGCAGGAAACCAAGGCTTTAACAATTGTTTGTGATACATAATGCTCTGCCCTTGAACCTACATTTCACGTAATAGTTATCTAGGTGATCATTCCAGATGGAACATAAAAAGGGCCTCACCCTTTTTTAACAGCTTCCATGGTCGTTGAGTGAATCTGTTATTGTGGGGCTTACCATCCTCGACGAATGGGCGTTTAAGTTGTTTCCAGTCTTTTGCTATTAAAACAGTACTGCAGTAAGTCTCCTGCACCAGTGTCACTTGTGCATATGCCAATGTCCCTGCAGGACAAACTCCTAAGAGTAAGTGTTTAGGTCACCAGGCATGTGCATTTAAACATTTTTGATAGCGGCTGTTCGTCCAGTCATATAGGACAGTGCTTGCCTCCCGCCCCCACACCAAAAGAGTGTCATTGACGTTTTGGGTCCCTGCCCATCTGATAGGCGGAAAATGGCGTCGGACTGTAGTTTCAATTTGCATTTCTGTTTTGAATAAGACTAAACACCTTTTCATAAGTTTAAGAGTCGTCTATATTTCCTGTTCTGTGGGCTGCCTGTTCGTATTCTTGCCCATTTTTCTATCTTAGTTTTATTTCTCTTCTTGACTTATAGGTCCTTACATATTAAGAAAATTTGAGTCTTGAGCAAAATGTCTCAAGGATGGAAGCAGAGGAAGTACATTCATCCCAAAGGCTGCCCGTGAGTTTTGTTTCCTAAATCTCATGACCAGGTCGGTCCTTCGCAGTGCTTGGTCTTCACTTGTCACATTGCTTCCGTGAGCCCATCTGGCCCTCCTGAGGCCGTCCCTACTTGCCTTGTTTTGACTTAACATACCAGTGGATTTCCGCGGCTTCAGGAACCTTGATGTGTATGCGCTCCTTCACCAGGTCAAGGTTCCAGGGAGAGAGCCTGAGCTGGGGTTGTCTCCCTTCCTCCAGTAGGGACTCTGTTTTCTTCACAGCCATCTCCCACTGCCGGACCCAAGATTACCCTGCCAGGCATTTGCAGCCTTCTCTGCCCTGTCCTTACACCTAGCCCAGGGTCTCACTCTTCAGTTGGAAGGTGATTGGGCTAAGAGCTTCTGTGCTTCTGGCTCTGGGAATGTGGGCACCTCATCTGCCTTAATAATTATGTCCTAGAACCTCAAAGGGCAGAGACAGCAGAGACCTCGGGGCATGTGGGGACCAGTTGCCTTCGTGGGTGGAGGAGACATGGTGCATAGGAGATGCTTGCCAAGGTTGAGCACCTAGTCAGGGATACCTGTGGGCCTGGCACTCCTGTTCAAGATCACTGTTGAATGTTTGTTCATTTGTTCAGCAAATATTCCTGAATGGCTGAGCACCATAGCAGCAGACAGGGCGACTCAACAAGTGAGCAGCTAACCTCATCTGAAATACAGCCCTGATAACTGCTGTGCAGGGACAAGGGGGCCATAGGGAGAGTGTCCCAGTGTAGAGGAGTGTTGGTCAGGAGACCATTCCTGAACAAGATGAGGTAAGAATGGAAACAACAGGGCAAACTGCATACAAGGCAATGGGAACGAAATGAGAAAGGCCTTGGAGCTGGAAAGGGCTGCCAAGGTTCAGGAACTGTTGGAAGCCAGCCTGGCTGGATGCTAGTGGGATCCAAGACACATAAGGCTCAGGCCATTGCAGTCCACACTGACCAGAGAGACAGACTTTTATTCTGAGTTTTCTTGGGCATAACTGGGTGTCCCTCAAAAGTTTTACATGCTCATGTTGAGGTGGTGGGGGTAGAGGCGAAGAGGTGTGACTTAGTGTAGAAACCATCATTCTTTAGATGGCCTCAGAAAGATCCTTAAAGGTTATAGCTGAAGCAGGCATAGAACTACCTTGAGCCTTCCCCTGGAAGGGCTTTTTCTGTGACACACTGAGCCCCAGGGGAAACTGCAGAATTAACCCCGTCACCCTCAACCCTGGAGCAGCCCACAGCCAATGCCTAGTGGGAAGGGTGGCACCAGCTGGCTGGTGGTGGGACTGGGCTGATTCTGGGGGGCATTCTGCAGGGAAGGGAGCTCCCAGTGCCCACTAATGCAGCCCATCTGGGCTCCTTCATTTTCCGGGCTTGCTTCCCCACTCACTATGGGTGTTTTAGGATCATTTCCATGTAAACCACCTGCACTCAGATCCTTGTCTCAGGCTGGGGGACTCTAATGAAGGCGGAGCTCTTCCAAAAGACCCACATGCTCCCCACTCCCACACCAAGGCCACAGAAAGCTGGGATCCCACTCTTCCCGCTCTGCTCACTGCTGGCCCCCAGCCCAGGCAGAGTACCTGAAAATGGGAGGCACCTGGCAGATGTTGTTGGGGTGTGGTTCCTGCAGAGAAGGCCAGGAAGTCTGAGGGATGTCTCTGAGACCTTGGAGAGGCTCAGCCAGATCTCCTGGGCCCAGGACTCTCAGGCCTTTTACCAGGTGAGCTGACCACAGGTGTCAGGATGGGCTCTTCTGCAGGGCTAAGCATCGTCCACAGCAGTCCTGCCAAACCAGATGGGGAGCCTGTCTGGCTGGGTGCAAGGTCCCTGGGACCCCACACACTCACTCAGGGGCAGGTGGCAGCAGACAAGCACCATGGCAGCATCCCCACTCCCGGACCCCCTGATAGGGCCCACTCCAAATCTGCCCTGGTGCCACACCCGGGACAGGCCTCGACTTTAGGAAGAACCCAGGGTGGACTTCAGAATAGCCTCTCATCATTTAGCATTTCCAGTGTATGGATGCTGGGCTAGGGCAGTGGGGCTCTGCTGCTTGGTCCCATGGAACTTGCAGCCTAGTGGGGGGGGGATTAATGGAGCAAGGGTTCGAGTTCTCGAAGCCTTTAGTGCTGGGCAGGAGGCGAGGAGGCAGCTCTGAGGGCCAAGTACAGAGGCGCCTGTTTAGGGCACAGGCAGGGAAAGTAGCTCAGAGAGGGTGGCCTGCAAGGATTAGTTCGGGCAGGGTGACAACAGGGAGAGAGATGAGGCAGGAGAGGGAAGCAAGGCCAGGCCATGTGGCCAGGAAGGCCTGGGGGCCAACCATATGTAGTCCTAGGTGTGCTGAGAAGCTACTGGGGGACAAGCTGAGCAGGAAGGTGACCAGGACTGAGCCCTTTTTAATAACTCCTGTGCTGTTGGGACTCGGGAAGAGGCTGTGACCATTCTCACCACATGGGACGTGGGGAGGGCCTGGGCAGGAGTCGGGCCCTCACAGCTTTCGATCGGTGACCTTGTTCACTGCCGACGTCTGCCCTCTGCTCCGTTTACACATGAGGGAGCTGGGGCTCAGAGTAGGAAAGGGGGTTGCCAGGCCCCAGCTCGGCCTGGACGAGGTCAGCTGATGCCACGCTGCTTTCTTCCCGCCGTCCCATGTGCCTCGGGCAGCTGCTGAGGCGCCTTCACTTCAGTGAGAGCATTTCGGTCTGTCGGGAAGAAATACTGGGAGAGAAGAGAGTGGAGGAAAGGTGAGGGGAGGGAGGGTTCACCTGTACCTGCCTGGTGGCCTTGTGTTTCCGCTGCACACGCGGGTACAGCAGCTGCACCCGGTGACCAGCCCTGGCCCTGCTTCCCCCGTCCTCCCCCGGGTGCCCCAGGCTTTGTTTGGCACTCATGCCCCTGGCCAGGAAGCTAGAGCACACAAGGATGACAAACCAACAACTAGGCTGCATGCGATTCACAGCCAGTGGGGAAACAAGGCCAGTGCGCCAGCCTCTGCTTCCGTGTCCTCATGGCCTAGCTCCACCCACGAGGCCAGGGGGCTCTGACCTCGGCTCTGACCCACAGCACCGACCTCACCTCCTCCTGCTCTCGCATCTCTCATTCCGCGGCTGCTGGGACAGCCTGTTTCACCCCTCTGGAGCAGATGATCCTTAGAGATCCTTCTGGCAAGTCCGGGCGAGCAGGGGCTAAAGGCCAGCCTGCTGGCTCCTCGCCCAGCTCTCTGTTCACAGCATCTGGTGTCTCTACCAGAAACCCATCACCACCAGCCTGTGCTGCTGGACTGGCCTTCCCAGGACTGGCCCTGAGGCGGGCCTGAGTGGTCTGGTGCATTCTTTCTTAGAGAGAGGTCGAGGGCAAGGTTCCTTTGCACTGACAAAACTGTCATGCCCTCAGGCAAGTCCCTGTTCCCTCTGGGCCTCAGTTTCCCCTTCAGTAAGGAGGTAGAGGAAGGTCCCTTCCAACTCTGAGATCTGGCAATTT